TTGTTATTGTTTGATTTCTTGATAGCAGTCATTCTTTGTGGGGTGAGGTGGAATCTCAGTGTTACTTTTCATATTTTAGTTTCTATTAGTATATGTTTGCAGTACAAAATGTTACATTACTCATGAGGAGTTCGTACATGGCCATCACATATCTTAATTCATTTTTTTATCCTCTTTCCGTCCCGTCCAACACTAACTGCTTTGATTTGAACCACAGACCAGCAAAGTGCTGGGAACACAAATATTTGTTGTCCGTTGTCAAAGGGAGCACGTAATTGCTTTCCAACCTGGAAAAGCCTACCTCAGAGATGAGCTCCTGCCCACACAGTGTCTATCTCTGCTCCTGCAACTGTGTAGGGGGACAGACGGGTCAGACTAGGGCCGCATATCTGGAAACAAATGACTTCCCAAATCTGTCACTTGAGAATTTTAAAACAGTAAAGATTTTCCCAATTTTCTATATGTAAACACATATTATAAATATAAATATTTTCATGTGCATGGAGAAAGGGAAAGGAGGGGCTATTGGTCCTTATTTTAGATGGTGCCCATTCTATCCTGTTTTAGGATCGTGATTTTTTTTAGTAAAACTGAAACTATTTCTAGATGAAAACATAGGGATTTAACTACTTCATTGATATCTATGTGCCATGGTAGCTCACCTTTTCTTGTTCATGAAAGGCCTGGTACTTTGTCCTCACACTAAAGATACCCCCGCCACGTTGTTTCAGGAAAACGCTGATCAATAAAATACAAAGTACTTCTTTGAAACTGAAGGTGAAATGCAAGCTCAATGGCCATTTCTATGGTAAAATAATAGTTCGTCATTTTAGAAAACTTCATTTATTTTCATATAAAAATGCTTGTTGGTGAACCTTTTTGGTTTTATACTCCACGTTTGAAAATGAGAGTGACTTTATCTCTGCCTTTGTATATATACTCTAGCTATCAATACTAAGAAAAACGTTCCGGTCAAAGTGTGGTAAATAAATGGAGTACAAACTGAGGGAAAAGCAGATAAAAAATAAATGTAGAGAGGACAGAGGGAGGCTAAGATGGTGCTAAGTGTATGAGACAGTGGGGAGAGGACTTGTTGCAGGGAAACAGTATCTGAGGGACAAAGATGTATTCACCATCAGGGCTCAACCAATACACAATAGATTTTTACTTTTTAAATGTCATAGCTTTATTCATTTGGTTTTTTTTGTTTGTTTGTTTGTTTTTTGGTACTGCACTTGCCAGGCAGATGTTGGTGCCCCTGAGCTAAATCTCTGTCCCTATGATTTTATTCTTGATACAGTGGGAGAGCCTAGCCATACATAGCATTTTTCAATATACTTATGGCAGTTTTGGAAATATCTGTATAAAGCTGATGACCTCATGTAGAAAAAGAGATAGCAGATTAATTATGTTTATCTTATTTTAATGGACACTATTCAAAAGTACAAACAGCCAATAGGTACATGAAAAAATATTCAGCAACTTGGCCATTAGAGAAATGCAAATCGAACAACTACCTGGAAATTAGTACAGAGATTCCTCGAAACACTAAACCTATGAATTCCATTTGACTCAGCTATAGATACTTCTTCTGTATATCTCCTGGAATCGTTACCCGCATCATATTACAGTGATCTATATCCACCCGTGCTGGTAGCAGCAGAACTCAATAGCTAAAGCTTGGAAGCAGCCTGTATGTCCATGAATAGATGGATGGACAGACAGTGTGGAGTATCTTTGCCCAACGGACTACTTCTGAGCTATAATGAAGAATAAAGTCGAGTCATTTGTAGGATATTGATGCAGCTTGTGTTCATAATGCTAATGAAATAAATCAGATGCTCAAGGTAGACTATCAAATGGTTTGTCATCTGAAAAATACAAAATAGAAATGATTCAAAGGGCAAAATAAAAGATAGATAACAGGAAACAGGGAGATAGACTTTGTGGAGATGGGAAGGGGGCCTGGAAAGGGGTGGAAGGGAGGGGCTGGGAAGAGGAAGTGAAATTGATCAAATTCCATACGTATACATACTAATTCCCCACAACAAATGCATTTATTACATATCACAAACACAGACTAATACAATTTTTTAAAAAGAATTTCAGGGGCTAATGGCATCACTCAGTGGCACAATGCTTGTCTGGCATGCATGAGACCCTTGCTTTGGTTTGCAGCTGGAAAAATTTTTTTTTCTCTTTTCTTTCTCCAGCAAATAAAAATGTATTTCTATTCATGCAAGTCTATTTGAACTTAAACCCCATAACCTCATAAACAAGGCTGTGATAAAAAGGCTCTTGTTAACATATAGGGATTGCAAATAAGAGTTTTCAAGAATAAAAATATAAGTAAGGCATTTAGTAAACGTACTATCCCAACTCTATAACATGTTCTCTCGATAAAATGAAAGAACTGAGTCCATAGAAGAGGATAAATAATCTGAAAATTTTGCATTTTTTGTAGTAGTGGTTTTGAATAAACCTTATGTATATTTAAATACATTGTTAAGATGTGCCTCTCACACTTAGAAAATGTCAGTGGTTCATAAACCTTTCCAGAACTGGACAAAACACTTACATAGAGTTGGTGTCAATATCGGTTTACAAAGACTTAACTTCACCATTGAATGGTTAAGTGAATCACATCTGTTGTGGTCTAAGCAAGAAGTTGCTACTTTCAGGCTTTGTGTATCTTATTCATGTGTCCCACACTGCCTTTGTTACTTGCCATCTGACCTGTGATTGAATGAGTATTTATTATTAGACAGCTTCAGTGACAATTTAAGTTCCATTTTAGTACAGGCAAAAAAATATTTCCTTAAAAATAAAGTTCTTAAAGATGATTAGTTTATACACTCATATAAAAAGTGTTTGCATGCAGTACTTATATTTTGAACTTACATTAACTCTTCTCATTTATAAATTAGTGAAGCCTGTTAGTATCACATAATAAAATCAACATTTGCTGTTTTGTCTCACTTCTCTGAAGACAATTTACCAGAAAGTTTGATTTGAATGGCTCAGGAAGAATACAAAGATGGCGACTTGACTGACCATCAGTTTTAGCCACAGATAAGATTATTACTTAAAGTTAAGCTACTGAAATCAGAAAATGTAAGATGTATGTTACCTATCAAAACTTTGATCCTGATGAGCTGGAATACCTTTTGAAAGTGAAAAATGAGAAAAGAAACTTTGTTTTCAAGTTGCAAGTCATAAAGTTGCTCTCTGAGATTGAGTTGCATATAGATTCCAGGATCTTATTGGCTCAGGACTTCACACGGGAGTTTTGAGATTTTTTTCCCTTTATTTTTCTTTCTTCGTTTTTGTGGTGCTAGAGTGTGAATCCAGAACCTCTGCACTGAGCTACATCTGCAGCCCTTTTCTAATTTCTTGTTTCAAGACAGGATCTTGCCAGGTGTCTAAATCACCCAGGCTCAGTTGCTCTCCTCCTGCCTTAGCCTCCCAGAGAACCAGGATTCCAGCTGTGCCCCACAGTACCTGGCTAACACAGCATTTCTTATGCCACTCCCTTGCCCATAACTGAATAGCAAATCCAATCCCCTCCCCTTGTTTTCTCCCAGGATGATTTTCTAGGTGTAGACATGCTAGATCCAAGCATATACATTTTCCCTGGCTTCACGTTTTAATACTGCTAGCATCAATGGCAGAGGGAGTAAATGCACAATGACGCTAAGCAGGGAGAAGTACCCTGTGAGAACGCAAACTTCTATTTGCGTCATTGAATTGACATGGAGATTGGGCAGAACCTCTTTCCTGGAAATTGATCACCTCTTTCTCCTTATCAGAAACGCCCTTGTTGAATCTCTGAGAAAGAGAACAACTCTTGCTGGGTGCAGGGTGGCAGTGCACAGTTGTTATCCCAGCTACTTGTGAGGCTGCGGCAATAGGAACATAAATGTGAGGGCAGCCTAGGCAGTGTAGAGAGACCCTGCCATGAAATAAAATAAAATAAATAAAAGAGTAAGCTGGGAGTATAACTCAGTACTTCCTGAGTTCAATCCCCAATCCTGAAAGAGAAAAAGAAAGAGAAGAAAGGGAGAAAAGGGAGAAAAGGGAGGGAGGGAGGGAGAAAAGGGGAAAGGGGAAAGGGAAAGAAAAGGAAAGAAAGGGAAGGGAAGAGAAGAAGAAAGGAAAGGAAAGGGAAAGAAAAAAAAAAGAAAATCAGTTTAGCTTAGGAGGTTTGCTCCTAGTTGCAAGCTGTTCCTCAGACACGTAGCCTGCAGATGAGAAGAAAGGTGACAAATGCCCAGGCCATGTGAGGTGACAATGGCTGCTCATCCTCCCTTTGACGCTTCTTTAGTCCACTTCTCTGCAGATTTCCTGACAGTGCTGTTCCTGTTGGCACTGGTGCTGTGAGCCTATCTCACATGTACACAGCAGGGACTTCAATAAAGGCACAGAATTGATCCAAAGAGCTATTTCTTAGTGTTCAACAGTTAACATGTTAACCCTATTTTTTTCGTCTTTTTTCCCCTTCCCTCCCCTCTGCTTCCCTCCCCTCCCCTCCCCTTCCCTACTCTCTTTCTTTCGTAGTGCTGGAAACCACATACTAAGCACACACTGTACCACAGATACTCCACTATACTACTATCTCCCTCTATACTACCACTATACTCCCAGCTAAGCCCTGCTTTATTAGAAAGCAAAATTAAACCCTTGTGCTTGGAGGATCCTAAATGCTAACGAGAGAGGGAGAGAGAGAGGGAGAGAGAGAGAGAGAGAGAGAGAGAGAGAGAGAGAGAGACCCATTTCTATCCCTTCCAGTGGATTACTAACCTGAATGATAACAGATCCTTTGTTTTTTTTTTTTTTTTTTTTTTTTTTTTTTTTTTTTTTTTAAATTTTGGGGGTTTTTGTTGTGTGTTTCCCAAAAAG